TTACATACGGCTTTTATTAAGTTGAGCAAGTTTCTTTCTATTTCTTATTTGACTGTTGTTATACAGAAAGGCTGTTGGATTTTGTCAAATGCTTTTTTGGCATTAGTTGATATGATTATGTGTTGTTTTGCTTCATTCTGTTGATATGGCATATTATATTCATTGATTTTTATATTTCAAACCATCCTTGCATTCCAAGAGTACATCTCCCTCCATCATGGTGTATAATTCTTTTAATATGCTGCTGGATTCTGTTTGCTTGTATTTTGTTGAAGATTTCTGCATGAGTGGTCTGTACTTTTCTATTTTTGCAATGTCTTTATCTGACTTTAGTATTAAGTTAATTCTGCCTTCATAGATTGAGTTAGGAAGTGTGTCCTCCTCTTCAGTGTTTTATAAAGGTTTGCAAATTTTTAGTATTTAGATTTTTTTTAAAATATATGCTTGGTAGAATTTACCAGTACAGTAACCAAGCTTTTTTCTGATATAAAAATATATCAGTTCTGGTGAATTTTTAAGTCTCACTATGATTTTTGAATTTTGTACTTGTGATATCTAAAGATGCTCTTTAAAAAAAAAGCTGAATATATTAAAACTTTAGTTTTCACTTGTTTCACATGGTTCAGTTATAAAGGTTACATGTATTATGCATTTGAACCCTTTGAAATATTATAATTTGTGACACTTTGTGATTTCATTTGTTTAGTTCCTGTAATTTAAAAATATGCTGCCACAGATGCTTTTTAAGATTTCAGAGTTAAACTGCTAAATTGAGTGCCTAATGTGCCTCTGCTTTTGAGGTTTTTAGTTGTTTCTTGGCCTATGGCCATGGAACAACCACTGCAAAGATTAGTGTGGTGAACTAGCTTTATTCTTCTATGATAGTAGTCCAGGTCTGCCCAGGATTTTCTGTCTTTCTTGCAGTTCAACAGCTATTCTCTTTTTGGTTTTGGCTTTCAATAGTCTACCTTCAAAGGTCTTTTGTTTTCTGACAGTTAAAGAAACTGGCTTGGTGTTACTCTTAGACAATTATGTAATTGTTTACAGATAAGTGAAATTCTCTATGATGGTTTCTATGATGATTCCCTTTATTTCACTGAAGGCTTGTCATGCTGAAGTGATTGGTCGTAATTTTTTAATGATTGAGAAGATTGTTTTTAAACCAAATAGCATTGAAAAACTTATTTTTTTCTGATTTTGTAGTGCATATAATTGTGGATTATGACAAATCTCTTCCCTTTTTAAATATAAGATAGCGGATTTAATGCTTAGTTATGTTATAACATGCTTAAAGAAATACACTACAGAAATTTTCACTTTATTGAAGTAATAAAGTATTTTGATAACTGCAAATAAGGATGAAACCATCTCATATAATAATGAGTTTAGAACTTCAAAACATATCACATCAACAACCCTAATTAACCCCAAGAGAGCAGTTTAGTGAAGAATATTTTGAATTCTTAATGTAATATTTATACTTACTGGCTTATTTTCATTATTATAAATGTTTCCAAGTATCACTTTGTTTTATTTAAACTTTTAGGGACATTTTTATGAGTGATTTTCCATGGGGGAATATCTTTCCACTTTCATTAAGTGAGCCAGTAGGAAAATTTGATTTGTTTATCACAGTTGATTTAAACCAACCTATCAGTAACACATCTGTTTCATAGAGTTAGGTACACCTGGAACATGGTAATGTGTAATTATTTTCTTGCAGACTTGTTTAGAACAGTCATATTAAACAACTCTCAGCCAGTATTTAATGATCACTTGTTAGGTGCAGACTCTACTCTAAATACTTTACATGTGTTAATTCATTCATGTTAAAAAATGTTTAAAATACGTGCTTTGCTTCCGTTCTCCTTCTGTTTTCCTTTCCATTCTCCAGGATGGTGTCCCTTAAGACAGTTACTTTTAAGAAATAGCCCAAGTGAGAAATACTAGTAATTTCTATTAAGATTGTCCACTTAACTTATGGAGCTCTCCATTGGTAATAGGAGAAAAAAGAGGAAGGATTCAGGAGACCTAAGTAGTATGAGGAGATAGAGCAGATTCCCCAAGTGGGTGCTGACTTACCTTGAGTGAATGCTCATCATGTTAGGGAATCACAGGTGAATGAATGGTGTGGCCTGCTTCATTGAGCAGATCATGGAGCCATTTCAGGTGAGGAGAAGGTCGGAGAGAACAACCTGCTCTGAGAACCTGAACAACAGAATTTTAAAGACATGGGAAGCTGAACAAGGTGATACAATATGCCAAACAGCCAGCAAGACGATGAAAAACAGAACTTGTAAACAGCAAAGGTGGAATAACGGGCTGGGGCTAGTGGCTGGACAAGAAGCCTAGTCTTATATTTCCAAAGAATAAAAGAGAGAAATACGTGTTTTAAACAAATAGCTTCATACACAGGATGATGAGTATTGGCCATATCTTTGAATATGTATGCTAGGTTACTTTATATTTCATGTCAGACAATAGCTTATATTATGTCTTATCTACATTTGTAGGTAGCTCGGACGTCTGATACACATTTATTCTCGGGAGGCAACTTGCTATGAAAACAGTATGGAATTTGAAATTTCATAGGTCCAGCTTTGAATTGAGATTTGAGTTATATTAGGTCTGTATGAAATAAATCCAGCCATTGTTAATAGAACGAGAATGGTTTGCCAAACTTCAATGTAATCTGGCAACCAAGGACAGTGGACTGGAATGTGCATGCTTGAGCAATAGCAATTTCATTGTACTAGTCAGTGGGGTTGGTAGACACCATTGAGTGAGCAAGTGTACCATGTGGCTGTCTTATTCAAAATAACTGAGAAAGTAGAGCAACGAATCTGCATCAAATTTTGTGTTAAGCTTGAACATTCCTTTGCTGAAGCTATTCAGATGATTCATAAGGCTGCAGCTATGGGCAACTGATGATTGGCAGCTTCATCCTGACAATTTGTCCACTCATGCATCACGTCTTATGCAGAGTTATTTTGTGAAACATCAAATCACCCAGGTGGCTCAGCCCCACTACAGCCCATATTTGGCACCCTGCAACTTCCGGCTTTTCCCAAAACTGAATCACTTTTGAAAGGAAATTGATGTCAGACCATTGATGAGATTCAGGAAAATATGACAAGGCAGCTGATGATAATTGGGATAATTGTTTGAGGTACCAAGGTGCCTAGTTTGAAGGGGACTGTAGTGTCATTATCCTACACACAGTGTTTCTTGTATCTTGTATCTTCTTCAATAAATGTCTTTGTTTTTCATATTACACAGCTGGATACCTCCTAGATAGAACTCATAGGCCTTGAGCAAGCTACTTTATTTGACTAACCCCCCCATCCCTAGTTTTACAGAGAGATACTTGACATCTAACATTGCCTAAGTTTAAGGTGTACAAAGTAATGATCTGAGATAGGTGTATATTGTACAGTATTTACCACAATAAGTTTTGTTAACATCTACAGCATTTTTCCCTTATCATAAGAACTTTCGAAATGTATTCTCTTAGTGTCTTTGAAATATAATAAGGTATTGATAGCCATAGTTACCATGCTATACATCACATTCCCCAGGACTTATTTGTCTAGTAAGTGGGACTTTGTACCTTTAGACATCCTTCACCCATTTCCCCACAAACCCCCCACAAATCCCATCCTCTGGCAGCCACTAATCTGTTCCCTATTTCCATTTTTCTATGAGTTCTGTTTCTCTCTCCCTCTGTGCATCCATGTTGTCGCAAATGGCAGGATTTCCTTTGTTTTATGGTTGAATAATATTCCACTGTGTATATGCATATACCACTTTATTTTTTTATATATTCATCCACCCATGGACACTGGGTTGTTTTCATATCTTGGCTATTGTAAAATAATGCTGCAATGAGCATATATTCTTTTGAGTTAGTGTTTCAGAACTAAAATGTTTGTTTTACTCTTGTCATTTAAAAGTATCATTTAAATATGTTCTCTGATTATAAAGTAAAAGAAACACTTAAAATAAAAGAGACCTATGCTAAAAAGATAAGCCTCAGCAATATTGGGATGCAAACAAAAAGATCTCTTCAGGGATTCAGTGGCTCTTGGATAGTAAATTTAACTAATTAAAAATAAATTGAAAAATTAAAAAACAGAATTATTTCCCAGTAGTCTTTAGACTTGATAAATAATGTCTATAATGAATAACAAGGTTTTAAAAGATCAGGCTTTAAAATTTCAGTGTGAGAAAAATTGAACATTGGACATATTTATATATTATTCTTGATTTCAAACAGTGAAAAATATCCGAAAATTTCTAAGGTTGTATTTTTTATGAAAATGCTGTGTCAACTATTTATTATCATGTCAGTTGAAAGTTAAATGAATATGCCTTTCATTTCCAAATAATGTGGCATGTGTAGGAGATACTAAAATTTCAGTTTTATGATAGCGAAAGAAGTGTCAGTGATTTAAAAATAATGTGAACCATAAATTTCTTTTGATTAATCATTGTAAGACTTTTCCTGGCTGGCATAGCTCAGTGGATTGAACGCGGGCTGGGAACCAAAGTGTCCCAGGTTCGATTCCCAGCCAGGGTACATGCCTGGGTTGCAGGCCATAACCCTCACCAACCGCACATTGATGTTTCTCTCTCTCTCTCTCTCTCTCTCTCTCTCTCTCTCTATCTCACTCCCTTCCCTCTCTAAAAATAAATAAATAAAATCTTTAAAAAAAAATCATTGTAAGACTTTATAAACTTATTTGACATGGATATATGTATTTGAAGGTAATGTTACATAATTGGTACTATCATTCTTGAATGGTCGAAACATAAATAATTGCAAATTTATGTGCCTGTTAGAAATAAAATGAATATGAAGTATTGTAAATATTTGTTTTTTATATCTCTTGTATAAACTACAAATGTTACTAAATTAGCACTTTTGCTTTTGTTTTTTTTCATGTAAGTGTGCACTGTCTCTAAAATTTGAGCCTTATTTATTGCTGTCATTTGAACAGGTGTCTCAATGCTTGTACCTATTGCAAAACTAAACACGCTAGAGGGAATTTGGCCAGTTATCCAATTGATGAACTAGTAGATAGAGCCAAACAGTCATTTCAAGGTAAGTGCGTCTGGAGTTATATACAATTTTAATCTTCCTAGTAAATTATAGTAGTCTTCTAATATAGTCTAATTTACATGCATATTTCTTTAGCTTTCTGAAGGTTTATCAATATTTCAGCTTATCTGATAGAGTCAGTTAATCAGGTTATAATGTTCACATTATTGTTCTTTAACCACTCCTCCACTTTTTTATCACTCTAAGGTAAGTGCCATTATTTGAATTTTATCACCTCTCTTTAGAGTCTATGAAAAGACAAAAAATAAAAATGAAATCTATGACCTTTTAATGTGTGTTAAGACTTTTGTGGACTGAATGGTATACTTTTTAAGATTTCTACTTTCCTTCAGTCATTTCTGGACCATTGGAAAACAGAGCTAATAACAGTTCCCCAGAGTCTTGGAAGGAGAAGGTAGAGTTTACTGTCATCCAGTAAAAATGGCCTTCCTTATCCATAGGACTATTGGGCTAGCAAAGAGTGGTCCTGGAAGAGAGCCCAGAAGAGAATGATTCTTTATGTGACTGGCCAGCTACTTCTGAATCATCACTTGCTGGAAAATGTGACTGTCTAGCTGTTTCTCAGCACATAGCAAGATTTATCTTTTACATGAGTCACAGTTGTGTTGGTTGACACATAATTGCTTAAGCCATAAACTTCCTTTTTTGTCTTTGTGTATAATATATGTACATAATATTGGTGTGCTTTTACACCCAAACAACAGGAGATAATCTATTATCTCATAATCTTGTGGGTTAATAGTCATTGGCGGTGCACTCATCCTTTCAGCGAGTAACTTGGAGTGCTACTTTCAGTACTTCACACCCTGAATCTCAGCAAGTATGAGATCCAAGCACATTTCTTTATTTAGTCTATGTAAAGCTGTTATCAACACGAATTTGGAATGTTCTTTATAATAGAAAGAAAAATAACCTTGGTTGATTTATTAATACCTCCCAGTAATTTTTTTCTACTTATGTATTCTCAGCCCAATTCTCTCTTCAGTTCCCATTCAAGTTGTGTTAAACAGCAAATGAAAGGAAGCTCTTTGACTCTTTCTAGGACTGTTTTAGAGTGAGGGTGTTACCTAAGGAAAAGTCTGGGCAGTTGTCTTTTCTACCACAACTACTTTAAGGATTTTTCAGAAAGGGCATAAATTTACATGGAAACCTAATGTATTTGAAAAATATTTCTTTTCTGACATTCGTATGTGGTTGTATTTTTATGTATCTGTCGGTCAATGGAAATATTAAAACTATATGATCTATTCACCAAGCACTGCAAATTGGAAGGCATACAGATTGATTTCTTTGAGGTACCTTTTCAACATTATGCATTTCTAATGCAACTACATATAACTTATAAAAATCCTCTCATTTTACTCTGAAAATTTGTTTGAAAAATATAAAACTGTTAAACCACCATGTAGGGAAGTGTTCTTTTGGCCTCTTCACACCCCTTGTCATCTATAAACTCTACTAACATTTTGATAGGATTTCTTCAAGACTAGGTATGGACATATTTGTGTATTATATGTGACTTGAGGGAAAAAAAGAAAGGAGTAACCATAGTTTTTATGAAATGATTATAGAATTACTCTAAGTATGTCCAACAAACGTAGCTCCCTGGTTTATCTTTAGAAATGCTCCCTGAGCCGTGGTGACACCAGTGTTGTGCCTGTCAGACTTGTATTGGTAGTTAACATTGACATGCCCAGCTGCTTCAGGCCAGTGAAAGTGAGTGGCTTATCTGAGTTTCGGAGTGACTTAGTGGCTGTTTATAAAGAAACTATTAGAAGAGATTTATTTAGTATTACTTTCATCGTCATCATTGGTAGATGTATTTATTTCCAATCATGGAATGTTTGCAATGTAACGTTTTTTTCTGTTGTCTTGTTGTTTGTATATTAGAATTGGAACTGAAGGCTAGTTACTGGACTGGCAAGCCCATTGGCTTGATATGTGGAACTGTTACTAAAATATTGAGGTCATGACTTTCTTAGAGAAGCCATTGTATTTAGGAAAATTTTAAGCTGTAAAGTATTTGATGCCCTTTGCCAGAAGAGAGTTTGAATTTGAAACAGTGGTCTGCTATTTATCAGCCACAGGATCTGAACAAGGTGCCTGACCTCTCCAAGCCATGGTTTTCTTATTGCTGTGACATTTAGTGTTGTTTCCTGTAAGAACTTGAGATAACTTATGTGAAGTAATTGCCTGTGTCCTTATTATGAAGGAGACATGTTACTTAAGCTGAAGGAATTAAAATGAATCCAAATGGAGAAGTCTGATCAAAATCAGTTCCAATATTGAGAATATTGGAACATCTGTAACCAACATTAATGGGTAGAATCAAATGGCAGATTTTCTTTTGCTTGTAAAATATATTTTATGAAAAATGTCTCTGTAGATGGGAACTATTTAGTATGACAATTACTTTTCATTTTCTTAATTGTAGAAAAGCAAATTCATGCTAAGAATGACCTTATAATCTCTTTCTACTATAGGAAGTAATAATCTGTAGCTCACATTTTGAAGATATTGGATTAGTTTATTATCTTTTTTTTCCTGCAAAAGGCAGTGAGACTTTAATGGTCTTATAGAATTTCCATTTTGGAGCTTTAACATTGTGAAGAGTAATTGTGCAGGTAAATATAGAGAAGAAATAGCGCATTTTCTTAGTTTTACAATTTTTGCACATTTAGGTCTTTAGTAACTGAATTTATAGGAATATTCTGTGGGCTACAACCCCTTAAATTCTGCATTATATTATTATGAAATTGTCTGTCCTATAATGAATAATGAAAAACAAATATTATTCTTTGAAAGGTTATGTTAAGATGAAAGAGTTTAAATATGCTGCTAATAAATTTTAGTGCAATGTTTAAAGTTAGTGGAAATTAAATTTCCCATCGTGAAAATTACATTTGCTCTCTCTTTCTTTTTCTTAAAAATTTTACCGACTTTGTGCAGAAATACAAAATGATTTTTAAAAACTCTAAACCAATTGTGGAATGGGAAACAGAACCCAGGTTGCCTGTCATGGTATAATAAGATCACAATTTCTTTCTGAATAACAGAATAGCATATTTACAAAACATTTTATATTCATAAAAATGTATTTCTTAGTAGTCTAATGAATGCAGAGAGATTAAGGGCCAACCCAAAGGCAAGGGCACATTTAGAAGTAATTCATGGAATCATTCCGAATGTAAAATGGTTTCCCAAAGCACTAAAATATGCTGACTATTCAATCAGGTAGAAAAAAAAGAGAGAGGAAGGCAGCTTATTAACTTTTATATGGATAGCATTAAAGTCAAATTTATATATATTTTGGAATAGAGATTTGTTTACCTTTTACATATATGTGATTGTATATGTGTGTGTTTAATTTTTATTTAATTGGTTTCCTGGCTTTTTCCTCCCTCTCACTGAACCTAGTCCCTTGGACATTTTCTTCGCCTCTTTTTACCTTCTCAGCATGTTTATCATTTTTGTGGGCAGTTCTGCATGTGAGTATAAGATTTACCAGGTAACTTCTGGGCATCATCTCATTGTTTTTAGCAGACTGTTGGGAAACCTTCCCCCTTCCTAACCTTTGTCTAGATTTAGGTTTTAAAAATTCCTAGGCACTGCAGTGTCTGGGGGCTGAGGTTTGACATGGTTGCATTTTAGATATCTAGAAAAACATGTCAAGCAGTGACCAAGATTTTTATTGAGGCCAGAATGAATTTACAAGCTAGTGTTTTCTAGCATATTTGTATTGATTTTTCTCTAGCAGCTAATCAATCAGTTTCAGTTGTATAAGTGATGGAACAAACCTTTTTAAGTGTGCTGGGTGAGTGGTGTGGAAACAACACCTTTCACTGCTGTCTCTGGAATCAAAATGTAGAGATGATGGATGAGCTGTTTTTATAGCTATCGTGTGCTTTTCTAGATTTCATTTGTGTGTTGCTCCTTTTTTTCCCCCTCATAAATCTGAAAAAAAAACCCCTGCAAACTTTAAGTGGTATAAACCAGTTATAGAAAGGTAAATTAAGGTGAAATATTCAAAGCAAGGAGAAAATTTTTTGATGCTTAGTGATTTTAGTATTAATGTTGGAATTTAAAAAATGAATTCTGTTTTATTTCAAGACTTGCAAAGAAAGATACCATCTATGGTGTACAAGATTAATTGTGAAATGCAACTGGAAAGCATGGCTTCCTGCCCTTTTAGACCATAAAGAGTATGAATAATATTTGGCTTTTTGATATATGAACTTCACATCGTTGAGTTGTATGGTTTACATCAAGCCACACTAGACTGATCATCTTTAGCAAGGTTACTGTGTGTTAAGATTAAAAAGAGACCAAGAGTTACATCCTTTTAATTTATAAGGTCATTTTAAATCTTTTTTATTCAATTAATTTTTTCATTTGTGTTATGTTCAAATAAAATTGAAAAATCTATTTCTTCTAAAGGATTAATAATGTTAATTCACATTTTTTTGTACATCATCAGCTTCCCAAAGAAGAATTTCCAGCAGCTTACCTTAAATGATTATATGTAATAGACCATGAAAATAAAAGCTGTGTAAAATGCTGTACTGTGTTTGGAAAGAGGGAAGATGATTTTACTAACTGATAAATCCTGCCTTTCCAGAAGAATAATGAAATAATGTGGTTTATATAATTTGAAATGCATGTGTAAAAGGAAGTATATAGTTTATAATGAGAAATGTTCATATTTCTAGACTGTAAACACTAAGAATTATTTTTATACATCCTTTTCTAAGAGACATTGAATAATAAAATTGAAATGCCTTTAGCTGCTAATGTATAGAAATTCAAGATATAGTCTCTATATGGCCTTTTTTCTGTTAAACCTTAAAAACACCACCCAAAATAATATTAATTTATGAAAGAATTTTAATGGGACAGCTAAATAAATGCATGTAATGTATATAACTTAATAGAGGGACATGGTGCCTAATTTGTTGTTCATCAGATATTCAGTTTAAATAAGC